CTTCTTAATATCTTCTGCTTCTGTTAGGTCCATACCATTTCTGTCCTTTATTGAGCCCATCTTTGCATGAAATGTTCCCTTGGTATCTCTAATTTTCTTGACGAGATCTCTAGTCTTTCCCATTCTATTGTTTTCCTCTGTTTCTTTGCATTGATCACTGAGGATGCACACCCTCATGAAAGAACAAATTCGTATGGACAGAAGAGCACAGTGCTAACCGGGAAGGTATGTGATTTTAGTATTAATGGTTATCAGCCAAGTGACACCAAAGCAACCTTTCTTTGTGTTTTCATATTTAATGAAAATCTTGAGATTTTTGGACTATTGCATAATAAACAGAACTATACTTAATGCTTCAACATGACACGACCCATTTTATCTTCTTTTGAAGATGGTCCTATAATATTTCTGATATGATTTTCTTCTAGTTAGGAAGTTAGGATATAATCTCCCACAAGCTACAATGTCCTCGTTGGTAAGACAGAAAGACCTGTACCCTTTTCCAGGCATTGTAACAGAGATGAAGTAAGACAAGGTCTATGGACACTAACACTGACCTTGCTTTCTCATGTATGCCATTGTGCCTTTCACTTTCTTGTTCCCTGGAGAAAGATCCTTACTCCCCGCTGGCTGCCTGGCTCAGGGGAACTGGCAGGCAGTTGTGCCATCCTGATGTGGTCTCATACCAGGGAATTCTTCCCCGAGGGGAAGCTGGCAGTTCGACCCCAGCAGCTCAGAGGCCCCTCTGAGTCAGGCTTGCTTCCAGAATTGGCTGAGGGCTCCTCAAAGGAGCAAAGCCACCAGGAAGGGAAAAGGAACGCTCCCAACAAGCGTGGAGGTGCAGCCGTGACGTGGGACCAGCTCCTCCTCCCTGCTGGAGATGTTCCCTGAAGGCCAAGATGCAAAGAGGATCTGCAACGGGGGAAACAAGAGGCAACCGAGAACCAGGATTTGGCTCAACAGCTTAATTCTCTGCTTTCTTGTCAGCCCTGATGGCTGGCAGCAAGGATAATTTGAAATGAAGAATGTTTTTCAAGGAGGAGCAAGAGTCTCTCATCTGAAACTAATTTGTTGTCCAAAATTATACTGCAGAAGTTGTTTAGAAGCTGCAGATTAAGTTGTGCATAAAAAATACAGCAACTCTTGATTATCCACACTCGTGGATAATCCAAAAACAACAGATACCTCAAATGATTTCTACTTGGTTTCATAATGCAGGATTATTTCCCCTCAACTTGTTTGTGTTTCTGCATGTAATTGTCTTCAGGGTATAGCCAGAGAGCTAGGGGATCTATAACCTTCTGTTAATTGCACAACAACCAAGGTTTCAGCACCATGCCCTGCAATGCAGAACCGCCTGAGTGGTATTTATAAAGATGAAAATACGATGAAGGAGAATGAAAAATGAAGTGAGAAAGAAGGAAAACAGTCAAATTTTTGTCCTTTCCACACACAGGCCACAGAGGGGTGATTAAGAACATAGGTTCTGGAGTCAGACTGCACACATTTCAAATCCCAGCTCTGTCTCCTACTAGGGGGATTTCAAGCACTTATGTAACCTCTCACAGCCTCGGTTTTCTCATCTGTAAATTGAGGTTAATAACAGTAGCACAGTTTTAAGGCTGCTGTTAGGATTAAATGAAATCATTTATACGTTGTGTTTAGCACAAGGCTAGGCACACGGGAAGTATTCAATGGATGTACATTAATGCCAGTAAAATGGGTAGCTGGCCTCTTGCAATGAGTGCTCAATAGCATCTTATGGAATTCATCACAGGACCCCAGGGGCTAAAGACAGGTTACAGCCCTTCCATGGCCCTGGAGTGGAATGATCCAGGCTGCAGGGGAGGAGGCAGCTGAAGCCGTGGATGAGGACTAGGGAGAGCCCAGGACAGCTGTCAGCTCCTCTGTGTGCTGAGCCAACAGGCCCACCGTCCATTAATGATCCTGCCTAATGGGGTAAAGCAATTACGATTCAATAAAGAAAATTGGCCATTAGCAGCTGGGAAAGCAAACAGCCTTCAGGGGCCCAGCACAAACACCAGGTCAGGAGAGAGGCCCCAGTGTGCCAGGAGGGACCTGCAGGGGTCGGGACCTCTACTCCTGGAGCTGCATGTGGAAAAGCGGAGGGCAGAAGATCTTCAGTCCACTAGGATATGAGTCAAAGAAGCGGGGAATGGGAGAAGGGATACAGAACTACCAAGGTGGGCTGTGAGAGTGAAGACACTGGGAGGGCTGTTCTGGACCCCAGAGTTCCAGAGTTCATCTCAGCCATCCCTCTGCCTCTGGAGAACCCAAAACAGGTCAAGGAACCAAATCAGGTCAAGGTGAAGTTTCAGGAAAACACTTACCCTAGGGTAAGGTGAGCTGGATAGTAGTGGAAGTAGCAGTAGCGGAGGTGGTGGTGGTGGCGGTGATTGTAACAGCTTCTTATGCACTTGGCACTATGTTAAGCTCTTTACATGGATGATCCCATTTAATCCTCACAAGCTTCATGAGGAAGATATTGTTTTTGCCCATTGTACAGATGAAGGAATGAGTGTCCATCTGTAAAGAAACTGCTTTAAATCACCCAGCTAATAAGTAGGTGATCTGAAATTTGAACCAATGTCCTTGTGATTACAAAGTACCTGCTTTTATCCACTCCTCTGGGCTAGTAGCTTCAGCAGAACAAGCTCAGTTGCTTGATTTGTGAAGAATTTCTAGCCCAAACTTGTGTGGGAAACTCAGAAAGAGAATTAAATTGGATGGTGGGCCCGTTGGTGCCAGAAATGGGAGTTGCCACCTCCTGTGTCCTGCCTACTGGGTGGGGTCAGCCTGCTCAGTGGAGAGATGAGGGCTCAGAGAAGAGAGTGGAGGAGGGCTGGAGAAGAGAATAATGATTTTCTTTTTACATTTTTTACAGCAAAGTCTTTAAAGGCCTTCGAGGTGCTTTCACACACACCCTCTGGGATGCCTGCTATTCTCTTACTTAGGTTTCTCCAGTGGCTCAGAGGTAAAGCATTCACCTACAATTCAGGAGACCAGGGTTCAATCCCTGGGTTGGGAAGATCTCCTGGGGAAGGGAATGGCAACCCACTCCAGTATCCTTGCCTGGAGAATCCCACGGACAGAGGACCTTGAGAGGTCCATGTGGTCACAAAGAGTTGGATGCGACTAAGCGACTAACACTTGCCACGCCCTAGAGAGTGGAAGGCCCTGGGGCAAACGTTCCACTGACACTGGGGGCTCGCCGTATCCTATGGCCTCCACGCAGCGCAACCTCTGACCTTCAGCCCCTCTGGGTCTCAGGCTGCCCTGCTGCTGGTCGCTCACAGACACCCAGGTCTGGAACCCACTGGGAGCTGCCCCAGAACTCAAGGGGCAGATACGGAGGCAGCTGTTTCCAAAGGTTTCTGACTGCTTTCATCTCTTTTTCTACACCTTCACTCCCCTCAGCATATGCTGGGATCTGCTGGAGCAGGGAGGAGAGAGATCTGGGGCTGGTGTGGAAACAGGTTGGGTCGGGTTATCTGGTTTGAGATAAATCTATGGTGGACTGAATCACTGCCCTTCTCCCCACCATCGTCTCAGCCCTCCAAGATCTCAGCTGCAGAGCCAGCATCGCTTTGTCAGCAGACTGTTCCCCGTGTGCACAGTCCTCAGCCCTTCATCTATCATCCCCACTTGCACCTCACCCATCTCTTTGTTCTCCATCTCCTCCACTTCTCTCTGTATTCACTCTGCCTCTCAGCCTCCAGGCTGCCCTCCATTTCCTCCCACGCAGCAGAGAACTGGAGAGAAGGGTCTCTGAACTGGGAGGAGACCTTACAGTTTGCACCACCCTCCTCTTTCATTCCACAGGTTGATTAGAGGCAGACCTGTGTCTGGGCTCTGGGCTCTGGGCTCTAGAGCCAGCATCGTTTTGTCAGCAGACTGTTCCCCGTGTGCACAGTCCTCAGCCCTTCATCTATCATCCCCTCTTGCACCTCACCCATCTCTTTGTTCTCCATCTCCTCCACTTCTCTCTGTATTCACCCTGCCTCTCAGCCTCCAGGCTGCCCTCCATTTCCTCCCACGCAGCAGAGAGCTGGAGAGAAGGGTCTCTGAGCTGGGAGGAGACCTTACAGTTTGCACCACCCTCCTCTTTCATTCCACAGGTTGATTAGAGGCAGACCTGTGTCTGGGCTCTGGGCTCTGGGCTCTTTACTTCCTGTTCAATGTTCACCTCCTTCAGCGGGGAAACTTGTCAAGTTCTGGGAGCAAGTACCATTCCCAGTGCCTAGGACTAGGCTGGCTACAAGAAACCACTCTGCAGGGGTGGCTAAGTGGCAGGCTGTCCTTTGTCCCCAGCTGCTGGCAGTAGGGAAATGGACTAAACAGTGACTGATCGCCTTGGTGAGCCCTGAGATCCAATCTTTTTCTACTTGGTTTCCCCTAATATGAAGAGAAGCTGCTGAGATTCCAGTACAGATCCGAAGATGGACTTTGTGCCCAATGGAGGACTTTGGCCCAGCAAAACAGGTCATGTGTAATTAGACGTGGTTCCCCAGAGGTTGCCTTGCCACCCCCACCCCCTCCCCTGTCCCCACTCCCTGGCCTTGGCTCTCTGAGTCCTAGGATCTCTGAGCAAAGAATTTCCTTCATCAGAGAGTAATTGCCCCTGGCTCCCCTCACTTCTAATCAACAAGACAAGGTATTAGTTCCTGGGAGCATGATTGATTTCCAGGGACTTGGAACTTAATTACATTTTTGCAAAGTCTGTTTGGAATCCTCAGAGAAGCGAGACACTTCTTTGAACTTACCATGTAGGAGGGCTTCCAGCATCTCAAATATTCCATTCATCCTTCCTCTGGCCAAGGGAGGGGCATTCTATGGCTGTCAGTTTTCATCTTTCCTTACCCTTTCCGTTCCCCCAACCCCTGGAGTTTGACCGGAGGAACTCGGTTTCTCAAGCAGAAGAATTCCTCACATGGTCCTCCCCACACCAGCAGTCACGCCATGAAGCCCAGAGGACCACGAGTCCTGTCTGGAATGCATGTCGCTGTGCCCTTCCCAGCTCCTGCAGGCCCAACCCGCTGGCCTCACCTGCCACATCAAGCTGAGCCAGGCTTCTGGTTCCAATCTCAACCTCTGTATTATTCTAATCACCATCATCAAACTTAATAATAACTACTGTTTATTAAGCACTAACTCAATAACTGGCACTAATGTGCCAGGTTCTGTAAGGTACTTTACACACATCAGCTCATTCCATCTTCACAAGAGATCTGCTATAGTAGATATGACTACTTACCAAGACATTACTACATTCCCATTTACCCAGGAAGAACTGGAAGCTCAGAGAGGGTCAGCAGTTTTCCAAAGATAGAACTAGAGGTGGCTAAACTGGGCTTTAAGAACTCCATGCCTCTGGACAATTACACCATGGCCAGTTCAGCACGTGCTCTGTAGCCCTGCCTGCCCGCTGTCTCCCCAGGGCCACCTTGCCTGTGGTTGCATGTCCCCTGAAGGCTGACACCACTTTCCCCAGCCTGATGGCTCCCTTCATTCACAAACACCTGATAGCATAATAAAGCAGTTGCAAAAGGATAACAACTTTTCTCTAAGTGCAAAATTCTATCAAAATTAAAGTTTCTGGGAGTAGAGTTCTGGTTCAATGTGTCCATTATAGCAGTTTTGCAGTACGCAGTCTATGCTGTTCATTTTACATATTATAAATTAATGGTCAAAAGCTCAGGAATGATTTTAGTAACATCTATATAATAAAGTGATATGAGATTGTTTTTGAAATAACAAGGTGTTGTAAATAAACAAATGCTGTAAGAAACAAGATGGGCTTGATGGTAACCTCATGCTTGCCTGACTTCTAAGAATCACACGAGCTGGATTCCTTGTCTGTCTGCTAAAGCCACCTGCCAGGATGTCTCCCATCAGACCTGTTCCCTCCCTGATCAACACCATCACCCACACTGACTGCACCCATGGGCTGCGCTCCCTACCATTCAGGTGCTTAAAGCTGTTTCCTTCAGACACGTCCCACACCACAGGTGGGTCTCATCCAGGGTCTGCACAAGCCTGCACGGGTCACTCTGTCCTGAGATGTGGCTCAAACCCTAGTCTGTTGTGAGTAGCTGAGACAAAAGAGAGTCTGAGTCCAGGGCCATCCACTCCCTTGCCCCATTGCAATCTGCCTCCTTTCATAGGCCCAGAGCTTCTAGATTATAGTATAAGATGCAAGTTCATTGGAGGGTCTTGCTCACAGACTCACTTGCTCACATGTTCAGTCCTGGATGGATGGATTAATCTCCTTCAGTGGGGAAACTTTTCAAGTTCTAGGAGCAAGTACTATTCCCCAGAGAATTTCAACTCTGGAGGATTCCTATGGACTGTGTGTCTGGTTAGAGGAGCACAAAGTTTGAGGGCATGGGGGGGAAACGATCTAATATCTTTATTAAATTTACAAACTTGGATCTTTCTAGTGGGGTATAGGGGCTTCTCAGGTGACACTAGTGGTAAAGAATCCGCCTGCCAATGCAGGAGATGCGAGTTCGGTCCCTGGGTCGGGAAGATCCCCTGGAGGAGGGCATGGCAACCCACTCCAGTTTTCTTACCTGGAGAATCCCATGGACAGAGAAGCCTGGCAGACTGTAATCCACAGGGTCACAAAAAGTCAGACACGATTAAAGTGACAGCACACACAGCATTGTGTAGACCAACAGGTAAGTTCCAATCCACTTGCTCAAAGTCCATGTCAGTGAAACATGCTGCATCCTTAGAAGACAGGGGAAATCAGCATATATGAGCAGTGCAGTGTGGGGGAACTATGGACCCTGCCATATAAACGAGCCAGCCTGTCACTTTTCCACCCATTTCCCCTGTCAGTACAGATGCAGTCCCTGAAACCTCTGTCCTTAGACTTTCTCTTAAAAACACAGTGAGCCAGCTCCCTGGGGCATGAGTTCTTCCTTGCCAGTATGTGGCTCCACCCTAGCCCTTCTTGGGGTATCCCTGCCATTTCCCCTCACCCTGGTCAAAGCAGCAGGTCAGGAGTATCCTTGCTCACCAATTTCAGGTTCACCTGCAAGGCACACTCGAGCCCATAAGAACCAGGTCTCCTCTAGCTATAGGCGTCCCTAAAGATGCCTGTTATTTGAGAGCCACCAAGTCATTGCTGGAAGTGGAGGCAAGAGGGAGTGACAGTGAGGAAGGGGCATTGAGGACTAAAGTAGAAAAAGTAGAATTCACATTTGCAGAAATTCCCAAACTTTCAGGGAAGGTAAGGAGATTGGCACTCTGTCTCCTTCCCACCCTCCCCACCAGCCACTTGCTACGCCCCTTTTACATGGGCCCATTCATCAAATGACCTGGAAATGTCTGCCAGCAGCCAGGTCCAATCTTTCCAGACAGCAGTGAAGGCCAACCCTGCTCAGCAGCAAAACTCAGCTCCAATCGGCCCAGGAGCAAGCAGGAGAAATAGCACATGGGACAAGGATACAACAGAGAAGAGAACCTCCTGATTCAGTCCAGAAGCTACGCAGGAAGTCACACGGAGGGAGAGCAGCTGGACCACCTTGAAGCCCCCGATGTGAGATGATGAGCAGAGATGACTGGTGGATGATAGGGGCTGGGGTGACAAGGGCAGAGGGGCCTTGGATTCAGGCCCAGCTGCTTCACCTTGTGCAGGAAGACTGGATCTGGCCATCTTCCCTTCCCTCAGTCCTACATGATCCTTCTCTCACTTAATTCTCAGCTGTGGCTTCTGGTTGTTTTTTTCTCATTTCTAAGACCTTCTTCATGGCTCCCCTTCACTCCTTACTCCACTTATTCATTCATTTCCAAAGAACGACCCCAGGCCTCTCCTTCCTTTGGGTTAGACCAGATCTTTGCCCTCATCTGACATTTTTTCACAGAGCCAATCCATCCTCTCTTCAGCCCTGACACCTCCTCCTCCTCCGAACCTCTCTCCGGGGGATCCCTCTGAAATAGAACCAGACATCAGCGGCAGAGAAGCTGGCAAAGGGAAGGCAGTGGAAGAAAGCTGTGGGTTTAGCCTCAGAGGCTACAGTCTTCTCTGGCTGGAGCTGCCATTCCTCTGAGAAGCTGGTCACAATCAAGAGGACAGGCCAGCCCCAAAGTGGAGTGCAGAGCTGGGAAAAGTAAGAGGGAATGAGCCTGGGTAAAAAAAAGCCATTATAGTCATAGAATCTCTATATGCCAGGCATAGGGCTAAACTCCCTCTCTCATTTAATCCTCAAAACAGCTGTAGGCAGGAATTTTCTCCATTTACAGGTGAGAAATCCAACTTCCAGAGAGTTTAGGTAATTTGCCCAAGGCCACAAAAATCGAACAAGACCAAAATTCAGAAACACCCTGGCTGTTGGTTCCAGCGAAAATCTTAGCTTCACTGCTCATCTCCCACCTCTCACCAGCAGGCAAGAGAAAGCAGATGTGAGAGGATTAGCTGTACAGAGCCCCAGAAGGACCCCAGGTCCCCATCCTGTTAGCAGCCAAGGGGCCTCACCAGTCCCCTGTGTGGGTCCAAGCTCCTCCCCCAACGGCCCCTGATGTCACCTCTCCTCAGGAGGGGTCTCACCTCATCCACAGACTTTGGAGGCATCCAGGGCTGGCACGCAGGACCCCCATCATGACTTCCTGTTCTGCGCACTGCCTCTTACTGTGATTTTTTTTTTCTATTCTGACCTTATTTTACTCATCATAAAGGGACGGATGATTACCAGCATCTCCTTCTAGCCTACAGAACTTCCTGGGAAGCATTTAAGATGAAAAAAAAAAAAAAAAAAGATAGGCACTCTTGAAGGAAGGGCATTTGTCACTGTTGACATTAACATTTTACCTGAACAATAGGAGGTTGTCATCCAGACCCACTGCCCTCTTTGTTGTAGGGGTCATGGAGTGGCCTGAGAGTCAGCAAATAAGCTCAGAAGTTCTAGGACTCATATAGGGGGTCAGATGCCCTAAAGAGACAAGCTGACAGTGCTTTTTCCCCAGACCAGGTCAAATACACAAAGGTCTGGGCCGGGTCAGGTGTAGGGCAGAGGAGTTCTCTCACTTGACATAAGAAAAGAAAGAAGGATTAAAATATGGAGAAGAAAGGGAGAAAAGATCCTGTTTTCTACATCCAAAAATTCACCCAAGTGATCAAGCTGTGTGAGCTGTCTGAGTCTTTCAAAACAGACAAGAGCTCTGCCTAGTCATGTCGGGCTGGGCTGGGCTGAGAAGACACATTTATAAAACATCAAAAGGAAAGTTCCAGTAGCTGCTCACAGCCGTTAGACACAGCTCCGCTAGGAATTTCTTTCCAAGGGGATATTTCAAGGGTCTCATGCATGAGAAAGCAAGGGTTGGAGATTCACCTGGTTGACCCACTGCTGCCACCTCAATAACTAGTAATCATCACCCCTGTGGGAGGTGGGGAAGGTTGAGGCCCTCAGAGAACAGATGTTTTATTTATCTATTTGTTTTTAGACACATGCAATGATAACACATTCAATTCCTCAACTAATATTTATGGATTACTTTATGCCAGACGTTGTGCTAGACTTGAGTATGGATGAGTAGTGATTAATCCCTGCTCCCCAGGAATTCTTGAGTAGTGGGAGAGACAAACAGACAACAATTAACCAGCAATACACATTATACTGGGCTCTGTACAGAGATATCAAGAATGTGCTAGCGGAGCATGAAGGCAGGATACAGTCTCCACAGACATGACAACTGAGCTGGTCATCAAAGGAGGAATAAGAATTATCCAAGGAGAAAAGAGGGACAAGGACTCTGGATGAAGGGAACAGCTCCAACCAAGGCAAAATGATATGAAAGAGCATGACTGACTTTGTTTAACTCAAATGTGGCATGCACGTGGACTGGAGTGGCAGCTGAAGAAACAACCATTTCCTGACCACAGAGGCAACATGTTGTTGTATTTACACTCAACCTAAATTTCCCTACTCACAGTTGGCTCTTCCATTGGGTGGTCATGTTGCAAAGAGCACCTAGTCTTTGACTGGATTCCTGAAAGGATCATTAAGTCATTCTACCAAAGTTCCGACCCCTTCCTGAAGCAACTCTAAAATCAGAGATTTTACTAGGGCCTGAATGAACCAGACCCTAGATTCTCCTTCCCCCCTTCCAGTACTGAGCTATGCTGGCACTGGACCCATTTACCTCAGATCCATTGGGCACCCTTCCTTTGCTCAATTCTGTATCATATAGTGAGGAAATTGGTCCCTGCAAGTTGCATCTCCCAGCTTCTGGCAGGGTCCCACAAAGGGGAAGCACTATCAGGAGGAAAAAGGAGAGGAGGAAGAGAGAAGACTAGGAGCTTCTAGCCATCCCTCTTTTCTCCAGCCCATATCTCTGCAGCCGCTACGACTCCTCCATGGTTCCAGCCCCTACTGGACACATCTACCC